CCTTCAAGGGTGCTGATCTTGCTTTTAATGGCCTAATTATGCTTCTGCATTGTGCATTAGCATTTTCAAAAGCCAGAGATTCAATCATTATCTGTATAGCTTGTGAATTTAGTATCATTCTATTTACTGCTGAAGACAGCCTTTGTAAGAAATCAGTGAAGGTTTTTTGGGGCCCTGTATAACTTTTGTAAATGACTCAATTTTCTTTCCTAATTCTTCAATTCTGTCCCAAGCATCCAAGGCTGCCATTCAGCATAAAGCCAGGGTGTGGTCATCGTATAGAGACTGCCTTTCTGCATTAGCATAATCTCCCTCTCTAAGAAGTTGATCTTGGGAGAGTTCCATACCTCTAGCCTTACTTCATTGTTCAATGGTCTTAGCCTCATCCTTTCACCAGGTCCTCCAATGTAATTGGGGATTAGCTTCTAAGACAGCTGTAACCAAATCTCTCCAGTCTTGAGGGATAATTCTATTACAAGTTGATGACGAGTTTAACATCGTGACTTCACAAACAGGTAATGCTTCTTTGAATCTCCTCAAATCCAAAATTTGCACAGGAGTCCAATCAGCTCTTATACAGAGTTGAGCATTTTTCAGTTCCTATAACTTTACTGGATAGATTAAGGTTGGCTCTTTGAAAGCTTTAGGCTGTTTCTCTGTAACTGTATAATGCAATTCTGAGATTAATTCACCTTTAAATATTTCTGTCTGTGTCTGAATATCTCTATGATCTGTTTTAACAAGTTTTTCTAAAACTTTTATCTTGGTCCTCGTATTTACCAACTTTTTTAATGATAAAACAAAAATGATCAAATAAATAATATTTATAATTAACATTACATCTATCCCATCAACATTAACTATCCTCTCATTTAATTGTTCCATTTTCAGATCATTTAATGTATAGTCAAACAGAGACCAAATGTCTTCCATTGTAAAAATGTTTCCCATTTTTTAATGTGGAAAAAATTCTCTTTTAACTAATTTCTCCCTTTAAGAAATCCCCATTGTCTCACCAAATCTACTGACAGTGACAATTCAGATGTGAGGCTGACTGTGTAGAACAGTAGAAGCCTGAGCAGGTTTCAAGGCAGCTGCTGAGTGTGGTAGCATCCCAATATGGGGATCCAGGGAGAGCACACAATCCAACAGAAGAGAAGAAGCCAAAGAGCCAACTGTCTGCATGAGGGAACTTGAGAAAGTGGCAAACTCCTATGGTTTTTTGAGCCCAAAAAACCTATGGAGTTTGCTGTAGAGAGGCTGCAACAAAAACTTAGCCAGTGAGTGAGTAGAGACTCTAGCCTACACAGAGTGGAGACTCAGGCCACGTGCAGCTCAGGCCTGAGCCAGGGCCTGCAAGACCACAGGCAAATGGCTTTTTCAGGAACTTGTGCCCCACACTGGGTACCAGATATAACACAAATTGCTAAATGGTCTTATAATAAAAATCCCAGTACCAGATATTGGGGTGAAAGCTGAAAGATCCACAGAAGCAGAGCAAGCCACAGCCAACCTCACCTCACCAACTCCTCAGCCGATCCTGTTGCCATAAATCCTCAGACTCTGATTCCTCACCCAAAAGGCCTCAGCCAAAATGAGCCTGACTGTTTGCTTCTGCATCTCCAGCCAAAAGACTCTGAGTTCCTGTCTCTTCCCACCTTATAAACCTTTCTCTTCCCTGCCATGTTACTTCCTGGGATTAAAGGCATGTGTATTTCCCAAGCAAAGGCATAAGACCTCAAGTGCTGAGATTAAAGGTGTGTGCTGCCACTGCCTGACCTCCATGTCTAATCTAGTGGCTGAATCTGTCCTCTGATCCTTAGGCAAGTTTATTAGGGTACACAATATACCACCACACAGGCTCAGATTTGTCTTTCACTCTGGAGGGTTGATCTGGCCTAGGCTTCAGCTCTCAAGACTGCCTATCATACCACCTAGACACTCTGGCCTTATTCTTTGTCCACAATGCACACATCCCTAACATGCTTTACCTTTGTTCAGCCAGGCTACTGAACACAACAGCACTCACTTACCAGTCCTGGCCCTGAGGTTGCATATACCACAAACTCTATAGAGACTACCCTGAAGCCCTCAGGATGTGAACCATATGGATGGTGGTGGTATTGAGGTAGGCTCTTGTGGCCCAGATGCTCTAATAAGGTGAAGAAGGACTGAAGGACTCAAAAGACTGCTTACCTTCTCCTTCCATGAAAAGCTGAACTCAACTCCATCATGGGTGGTATCCTGATGGCCATGGGGTAACAACCCTGCTGAAGCCAGACCAGCAGGGCTCACCTGGGCGTTCAAACCATACACATAACAGAAGTGTATGACACAAAATCAATCTAATTCAATCATGATTGAATCAAATTAGGGAAAAACTACTAAGAGCCTCTTTTGATCTCTTCACTAAGCCACATGAAAACAGGAGCTTAGAATGTTCTGATATTTTAAAGGTCTCTGACTGAGCTGCTCCTAGATAATGGGATCATACTTAGGAACATCCATATTAACAATCACCTAGGTAAAACTAATGATTCATATATTCTAGAAATCATAATGAGGATAAGTTAAATGGTCAAAATTTATTAAATTCTATAAATTTGTAATCGTGCTGGGATGCAAGTTGAGAAAAAGTATACTTTCATTTAATTAATAACATCTGCTGATAATGCACAAAATATGTTTGAGGGAAAGTGAGAAATTACACAGACCCTCACATCGAGCAGAGATTTGGACCAGTGAGACCTTTCTAAGCCTCAAATTATCAAACTCATAGTGGTATTGTTCCCAGTCTTGGCTTCCAAAGACAACCTTCCTGTGCTTGTTGTCCCCTCCCAACGTCCTTTGCTTCTTCAATGGTGCTGCTTGGGTTTTCTGTCAACTTAACACACACTGGGAAGAGGGAGCCTCAGTTGGGAGAATGACTCCATCTTATTGCCTATAGAGAAGCCTTTGGGCATTTTCTTGACTAATAATTGCTGTGTGAGGTCCCAGCCCACTGGGCACAGTGTCACATCTGGGCTATCCTGGGTTGTATAAGAAAGTAGGCTGAATCAGCCATGAGGAGCAAGCCAGTAAACAGTGTTCCTCCATGGCTTCGGTTCCTTCCTCTAGGTTCCTACCTTGAATTCCTTACATGATGGACTACAACCGTAAGCTGAAATAAACCCTTTTTTCACCAAGTTGCTTTTGGTCATGGTGTTTTATCACAGTAGTAGAAAATAGACATGTATATTTTGCTACAATCTTGACTTTTGAGAGTTCTATATCTCAAAACTATATTCTTTTTATTTTCTTTTTGCATGTGCCTATATGTGTGGTGTGCATGTGAATATACATGTCTTTATGTATGTCAGCGCATGTATGTATGCATGTGTGCACAGACAAGTGGAGACTGACATTGGGAATCTTCCTCAATCACTCTCAACCTTATTTCTTAAGGCAAGATCTCCCAATTGAACTCAGCACTTGTTGGTATAATCTAGCTAGCCATCCTGCCCTGGGAAAACCCCCTGCCCTCACCTTCTGAGTGCTGGAATTATAGGTGAGCTGCCTGGTTTCTGGGGACCTGAGCTCTAATCCTTATGCTTGCTGCTTGCATTGCAAGCATCTTAACTGTTGAGCCAACTTCCTAGCCCTTCTTTCTTCTTTTGTTTGAGAATGTCATAATGCACGAAATGCCTTTTGATCAAACCCACCCATTTCATTTCCCTCCAATTTCACCCCTATACCACACCACTATTTTCGCCCAATTCCATGTTAAACAAACAAACAAACACTGATTCCACATAGTACTGCCTGTATTTTCTTGGGTATAGGACCATCTACCAGAGCCTCTCAGGGCTTGCATCCCTGAAGAAAACTGGTTCTTCCCTCCTCCAGCATCACCAATTGCCAATAGCTCCCTGGCAGGTGGTGGAACTTCATGAGACTCTCTCCCACTCAAGCTGGAATTTTGAGCCTTTTGCTTCTTATTTTTAGTAATGGTTTTCCCTTTTCCATTCATAAACCTTCCTCCCACAAATAAACATTCCCAGATGTTTTGTGAGAGTCTTGCTGCTCACAGAGATTCCTGTAGAATGTGTTACTTTTCTGCAAGGTGACTATTCCCTAGACTCTAGGGCTTAGAAGCTGCTCTCTGGATATAGAGCCAGCCACATGTAAGACCTGAGACAACCTGTCTTTGGCTGTTGCCTCTCTGCTCTTCTCTCTGCAATAGGCCTGGGTCTTAGTTATACCCCAGGCTTTCCTGGAACCCAGGTGATGAGAATGAAGAGCAATATAGCCCTGCCCTCAGCCTGCATGTGAGCACATGTCCCAAAATTGACTCCTTCCCCAACACCTCCTCCTAGAATAGTGCATAGGTTCCAGCTCCCCACTTGCTTCAATACAGCCCCAGGACTTGATGGCTACCAGAGGAATTACTAAGTATCTCTAACTCACATGGACATGGTGCAAATATAATAATTCAGTGGCAAGACAGGAGCTAGTTGGTGAGAAAAAAATTAGTGCATGGGGGTTGGGGGAGGTCCCATATAGGTCAGGGTTGAGGTAATCCTGAAAATGGTACCCAGCTTCTCTGGGAATGGGAGAGTCAAAGTGCTCCACAGTGGAGCAGCTCAGGTTTTGCAGACAGATAAACAAGCATATTGGGGCTGAGGAGACCTCTTTGGGGACAAGAGCACTTACTATACAAGCATGAAGACCTGAGTCCAAATCCTTAGCACTCATCTAAAAAAGGTGTGTGTGGCCATGTGCACACCTGTAACTCCAGCATGGTGTGGTGGGGGCTGAAGACAAGAGGATCACTAGCGCTTTATGGCCACCAGACTAGCTCCAGGTTCAGTGAGAGACTCTGTCTCAAGGGAATAAAGCAGAATATGATGGAGAGGGCACCCAGTGTCATCCCCTGGACATGCACATGCATGAACACACACACACACACACACACACACACACACACACACACACACACCACAAGTACAGAAAGCACAGAGTCATTGCTCCTTGAGTTTTTATTCATCATACTATCAGGTAATGGTAACAAATATTGGCTTTGTTTCATATGAAAGGTTGAAAGGAAAAAAGAGTCTCATTACTCTTAGGGTTAGGGGAAGTATATAATTCTGGATTTTTATTTAGACATTACTTAAGTTACAGGAACTCAACCATCTGCTTCCCTTGCTATGAGGAACTTGGCTCCAGGCAGCCAGGAAACCTATGGAGAGACCCAATCTTCTATGTCACACACAGCTCCAAGTCTTTTGGCCATTAGGGCATTCCCCTCTGCTATTCCTCACCTTTGTGAAAAGGGGAAATCTGGGGTCTCTGGGGTCCAGTCGAGGCACAGATACAAGGCATCTGCTCCTTCATAAAGCTTCCCAGCCCTTCTCCTAGCCAGAAACAGCACTGTAAGCCAGGTCCCTTCCTGAACCCATGTCCCTGGGAACTGGGAGAGGGTCTGCTGTGAGGAGGCTCTGGCTAGGGACAAGTTGGATTGTGGTGCTGATCATGATGGGACAGCATAGGAACATGTGGCTTCCAGGACTCTGGTGGACAGATATGGCCTGCAAAGGCTACCTGGTTAAAACCAGTTCTCATGAGATGCTGGATAACTTGTACACTACTTGGGGGCTGGCTATGCACCTGGGTCATTCACTTCTAAAGCAGCATTTATGCAGCATAAGCATGAGGGTCCAGGGAAGGAGAAAGCCTTGAGAGGGCAGGGTAACCTACCAGAGGCCTGTTGCCTGTGCTGGAACAAGCTGCTGCCTCCCCTCTATGGGGATAGAAACACATGGGGCTGTCGATGATCAGACTCCATGCCCAGAGGACTCACACACCTGTCTTTGAATAATGGGAGCTAAGACCATGAAACTTCTTTATTCCAGACTTCAGCCCAGCTTGACAGGCCAAGATACCAAGCTTGCCTTGAGCTCTCTTTCAGAACAAATGAGACACTTAAAAGTTTCCATCTTGACTTCCTTGAACACTGTCCAGGGCTCACCAAGAACCACTGGGTTCACTCCTAATTTCCAGGAAGTCAAGGCCTTAAATAAAAGGCCACATCCTCAAGTCAATCTACTTGGTCATCATGCAGGCCAACATCTGGTTTGGGATGCAGATGTAAGGCAGATAGAGTGAAAATCCTAGATCCATTTCTTGGCTCTGATACATGTGGCTGTGGAGACTAGTGAGAGCTCCATAGACTCTCTGTGCCTCAGCTTCCTCATCTGTCAATGTGGATAATAAAGATGTCATCTTATCGTGTTGTGATGAACACACAGCTCAGTCCCTCACACAGTGCAAATGCTCAGGGGACATGGACCATATTTATATGTGGCAGATACCCAGTTTCAGAGGAGCCTTGAGAAAGCCCTAGAACAGGAGCTCTGGCTGCAAATGTGAAGGGGAAGCCAGAGGTATATGCAATACATTCATCTGGGCAGATGCCTACCCAGGAGGGAGGAAGGGATGGCCTAGTCAGGTTCAGACTATGGCAGGAGATGAGGGAGCAAATTCATACCTGACAAGGTGAATTTTTCACAAAATCAATATTGCTGTAATCTGAGGGACAGACAGGGAACACTGACTATCCTTGCAAGGAGACCTGATAACCTCACACCAGAAAGTCACTTGCCATGTCATTCATGAGATGTTTGCAGATGCTGGATAGGGAGAAATTAGAAGAAGCTGGCTTTGCCCTGAGAGTAGGAGCAGGGAGAGCACTCAGGGGGAGGCTAGGAGATCTGGGAGTCCAGATCCCAGAGAAGAGGAGAGTATGGAACAAAGCCAAATCTCCCATCAGCTCTAAAACACAAGCTTCTTGGGGACCTCCCAGGGAAACTCGCTTCTCCCAAAGTGGCCGTAGCATGCAGTCTTCTGGTAGATCGGCTTTTTCAGGTCCAAGTCCCTGCAGTCAGAGGAGGCAAGGATCACTTTTAAGTGGGAAAGGGTAGGCTGTAGGGGTGGTACAAGGAGAGATTTCCCACCCACACCTGCACCCTATCTGTGCCACAGCCCCATCCTGTTCAGGTTAAGAACTCCAAAGTCAGAGACAGCTGAGCGCTAACACACCCAGACCAGGATGTGAATGCCACCTGAAGTAACTTTCTCTACTCTATTGCATTGCCTAGACCAGTGCTCTCACAGCCAAAAACCAGAAAATAAGGATGCCATGAGAGCCTGTGAGGAGAACGGACTTGCCTACTGGATTTCTAGGCATCTGGCCCGAGATTCCACAGCTGCTCAAAGATGGCCTCACCAGGGACAGTGTCTGCTGGGCCTCCTTCAGCTGAAAACCAGATACCACCAGGCGGTGGTGGCGCACGCCTTTAATCCCAGCACTCGGGAGGCAGAGGCAGGCGGATCTTTGTGAGTTTGAGGCCAGCCTGGTCTACAGAGCGAGATCCAGGAAAGGTGCAAAGCTACACAGAGAAACCCTGTCCTGGGGGTGGGGGGAGAGGAAGAGAGAGAGAGAGAGAGAGAGAGAGAGAGAGAGAGAGAG